CATCGTTTCACTATCAACGAACCAAAACCGGAAGTTATGGTCCGATACATTCTCGTAACGTAGAGTATCTCGCGTAATGTAATGAATCACGCTAAAATCTCTGAGATCAAATGTAAGTATAAAACTGTCATTTAAATCGACATTTGTATTTGCATTAAGTGAGATATTTACTTTGCGCATACACGACAATTCGTGTTGCAAAAGATATAACACTCTCGTACTGCTTTGTAAAAGTAAATAGTAGCGAGTAATTTTATGCATACAAGAAACCTAAAGAAGACTTTCTCGAGAAATTGTAGTATGCGCGATATTATACTCTTTCTCTAAGAAACATTGCGGGAAGCGATATCTTTTATGTGAGTGGATGTTTAAAAGCTACCATTATACCTTTTTATTTAAAGTCACTCTAATATTTTAAATAAATTTGAATCGGTAAATAAATGCGATAATATAAATTAACTAATTTATTTGCTGTGCCATTTTATTGTTATATGAGAAAGTTTCTATCTAATATCTATATAAAATAAGTATAACTTTGAAAGAAAAGATAGCAAATAACAAGGAGAAAAGTTTAGCAATGTAATTTAAGAAAATATAAATGATAAACTCTCAATACATATTTCACACTTAAATGCGATTATATTAAATTTTTTCAAAGTTTTTATTTTAATTAAGAAATAATATAACTTTAGACATAAAATACACATGAAATCAACATAGTAATTATATCGTAGTAATTATATCCTTCTATATTTTCCGAGAAGAAATGTAGAAAAAGTCTAAAGATCTGCAAGTTTCCAAGAGATCATTACGAGTTACGTGTCGACTTGCCCTTTCGCCAAGTAAGGAATCGCATGAGTATATCGAAACGTCGTTAGGGTCGTAAAATCGTGGAGCATGGCGGGTCACGATGTCGTATCGAGTTATTTATGAAGCAATGTCACAGTCGCTGTCTTACGATTTCTGATTCGTCATTGCAGCTCTATATTGAATTATGACATCGAAAGACGAGCAATGAGCGTGAAATAAATTAATTTAACACGTGTCAATGTTTATATTTGATCGAGCATGTTTTTAAAATTTACTGCTGACTTTTCTTTCTTTTTTTTTTTAGTATTTAAAATATAGCATTAGATTAAATTATATGATAATTTGCTGATGAGTGAGATCTTCTAAAAAGTCTTTGGTACAATTCTATTTTATTAAATGCAAACGATTAAGCAGCATGACATATATCTATAGTAACGAAGGAAGTCAAATGATTTGTTGCTTTCGACGTTACATAATTGAAGTAATCGATGATGATTCTTAAAATTAGCTTATATAGAAAACCTTGTGAATGAATATAAAATTTAAAGCAATACGCGTATCGGAAGGGAAAAACTCGCTGTTCGTAAATCTGAAGAGATTCTGATTTCACGTTAATTCCTCGCCCATCAGAGTACGGGATTGGCGAAAGTTTTAAGGGATCGATCGGTCCATCGCACACTGGCGCATTCAACCCATCCATCTTTCTGAAACCGTCATTACCGGCATTCCCTTTCGCGCGCTACCCGCGCGAACAATACGATACGCGCAGGAGAGTATCGCGAGCTCTCACGAGAAAATAACAGGGATAGGGGAGTCGAACGGCATCTTTTATTGGACAAATATCTCTGCTCCAGCTCCTCGTTTTATTCCTACGCTCAGTTACCCTCCCGAGGACGTAACGCGATAAGGACGAGTCTAATCTGGTCTTCACGAAGGCAGCAAGGAAGATCCCTGCCGATAGAATATAGGTCGGTCTTTCGTGAATAATCCTGTGGCAGGGTTATCCATATAAATGTTTACCCAAAGATCGTTTTCCCCCTAAAAAGGAAAAAGAATAATTATAAAAAATCGGCAAAATGATCTCCATTGTATAAAATGCGTGTCTGCATTTGAACATTACATTACTGATAATATATATACATAATATTACTTATAATATATTGCGAGATTTTCTAAATGGATCTTGCGGGATTATTATTGATAATCTTACACAATGTTACTTGTACAAATTGCATAACTTTGCGCCGGATTACGTTGGCTCGAATAATGAGGGTTTCACGACGACAAATCGCATCTCTTCAGAAAGCTTGCGCGTTGAAATACGAACAGTCTCTCGTGAGTAATCCTGTAGTTTTCCAAGATCGGGTTTGCTAGAATGTGAGCCATCTGTAGCTTTGAAAGCCATGGTTTCCTCGGGGAATTCTTCGAGCTGCTGACGAAAACCGTTTCGTATATAAGGGCGATAACTTTTCGATATATGATATCAATGCTTTATATCAATCGATATTATTATATATCATATATTAATAACAGATATTTGCAGTATTTGTCTTTCTTTTATTATATTAACCCACTACAGCTTATTACAGTAAAAAATCATTAATCATTTAGAGACTATTTGATTTTTTTATAATTGTCGATGCATATTAATAAAATAGAAAGTAATGTATATTTATAATTATTATTAGATATTAGATAGATATTATCATTATATTAAATTATACCAAACAGAGAATAGTAGTGGAGTAAAAATAAAAAACGGGGATTTTTCATCCTCAACGTTAATCAATGTAATCTGCGAAAGCTATCATATATAATGTAGTAGCGTGAACCTATTAATTATGCAAAATGGCGAGAAAATAGTTATCGCGATTGCTATCATGAACTTTCGCACGGAAAAAACGTTTTGCAGTTTGCGTGGATCACGTCGAATCGTTTCGAGGGCGTTTATCGCAAAAGAGATTGAGGTGCTGCTCCATTCTGTACGAGCAATATCCTTTTAGGCGACACCGAAGAAACGGCGACGTTCACTCGGCCGACATCGAGATCACTCGATAACCTCCCATTTTCCGAGCATTGTCCCCGCAGGATTTCTTTAAGACATCTCGTTTCTCACGCGGATCACAGAATCTTGCGCCATTCAGTTTTTCGTATATCTACTGGAGCTTTTCTAATAATCAACTAACAATGAGAAATCGCGCGCGAAGAAGGTAAAAAAAAATTTAATCGATATAAATATTAAAAGGAAAGTATCAGAAAATATCTAAAACAGCATATTTTTTTTCACTAAGTTGCATTTTATTTTTATTAGCATGATTCGACACATTTTTAATAATTAGTAGTAAGAATGTTGAGAGTTAGTAAAAACATCGAATTTTGCAAATGTGAAAAATTTGATTAAAAAATATTTCAAATAATATATTAATAAGATTCAATATGTAATGTAATTTTATTACATCTATTGCTGTTATTTCGATATAATTTATTTTCTTATTTTACAATAAAAAAGATTTTTCACATTAACAGATATAAAGTTAAACAATGCGAAATTCTGGACATTTTTCGTCTTCAAATATGTGTGGTATTTATTTTTTCTGAACACAATTAAAACAAAACAAATTTATTGAAAAAAAATAAAGTAGAAATTCCTCGAAATCCAATACGAAATATTATTTTCTTTTAAAAAGCACGATCCACGTTTTTAGCTGGCATTTTTTTTTAGCTATTTAATAAGTAACGTATAAAAAATTATAAATAGATAATATAAAAAAGATATCATTGGATTAAAAATGCCATTGATATCATTAAAATAAAATCTCGATTTTGATTAAAACTAAATTTTTCTGGAGCAAATAAATAGGCAAGTGTTGCTGATTGATATATTTCATCGACATTTGATCTATTGTAACTTAAATGTTAATGTACATGTAGGTGTAATTAAAGTATTAATAACCGTCTTCAAATTAATGCGAGATACGATGCATTCTAAGCAGAAATTCATAGATGAAACATAAACATGGAATAGTTCAACGACGAGGAACAACTGAAAGGTTTCACTGTTTGCTTTCTCGTCTCGCCATAATTCGGGTGAATCAGCAACTTTGTATATAAATTAAACAATACATGGCAAGCCAAACTTAAGTCGGTAACATGAGGAGAAATACAGTTTTGCTTGTTTCGCCAGGATAATCAAAAGTATATGCAAAATAGATTAATTAATTATTTAGCTGTAGCGAGAATTGATTATCTGCTAGAAATTAATATTTTATGAAGAATGTGCATTGTGTGTGGGAAAGATTTAGACAGAATATATTATACATGGTCAAAAAAGTGTAAAACATATATGCTGAAAGCGTGCTAATATATTTTTGCCGCGACAAACTTTATACACGATTAATCATTTTGATATTAATATAAGATATTTGAAAAAGAAAATAATTTATTAGATAATAATTCTATCATACCTGGTTAAAACCGTGTGTAATGATGATTTTATAGATATATTCCCGCCGTAGTTAATGTATCGTGGATAAAGCAGCAATGTTTTTTAATCATTTCTTCAGCATGTCCAATATTACATGGAGTTACTTAGGTAATAATTCCAACAACAGCGCATTTATTCATGTTCTATCTCACACAGCTTAAACTAAGCTTTCCAGTAATGCGACTGGTTCTAATTAATGTGTTCCACTTGAGAATTGGTGCCATTTTCAGCTTCACAACTCCTTGCTCTTTTTCATAAGATGAATGGAACTAGGAGGATCCTGCACGTCGCAGTTTTTCTGATTCCATTCTTCTTATCTGGTCCAATGACTTATTTCTGTCCTTCAGTTACGTTGCGTTATTCATTGTCAATTCGGTGGATCCTCTCTTCAAAATTTGCATTATTATACTCTTTTATAATATTTTTTCCGATCTCTATATTTCTTCATCCTTTTCTGCCTTTCTCATCTCGATTTCTTCGATAGTTTATCGGATATCCGTTGTGTTTCCTTTAACATTTTCTATTTTCGTTTCCTTTATTTTACGTTTCTTGTTTTCTTATTTGTTATCCGAGTTTTTCACAATTCGACGAATCTTTTCATCAACATTATTGCGCATGAATGAACCTTTATGCCCTGCAGCACGGCTCTTCTCTTGAGTGTAAAAGCCTCCCACTCAACAGTCCCGTTTGTTATTGTTTTTTCCAGGACCGTGAATTCGTGGAGATGGAGGTGCCGTACAACGGTGCCCCGAAGAGGCCGGGCTCGCCGTCGCCCCTGACTTCCCCCGCGCACAGCACTGCCTCCAGGGGCGGCCTGCTACAGTCTTGCTGCGGGCGCTGCTACCCCCAACGTTACCAGGTACGCGGTCGACGTATACTCGCCTCGATTACCTCCATAAGCGAGACCGCGCCCTCGTCCTCCTCCCATTCTCATCAATCGCAACCCGGTCGGTCGCATTATCAGCAGGCTGCGGTCGATCCAACGACCGTGCCGAATGTCGTGTTCAACGTGCCGGGCGACGCTGACCGGCAGCGTCGTCAGGGCACGAGCTCGTCCAGTCCGTACAACGAGACCAGGGTGTGAGCCAGGGGTAAGGACTATCGGCGCAATTATTCTAGCCACCCGACGGCGGAATCGATCGCCGGAAATCGATCGCCGGGTGCGAAACGTATCGCACAGCGAGACTCGATTGCTTCTATCGAATCCAATTGTAGACTGTCGATTGGAGTTCTTGTTTTTCGAGGACGTTGATTGTTTTCTGTCGAATTTTCAGCTGCCGGTGAATGATCCGGCGGGCTTTTGCGGATATTTCGCGGATTTACGGGGTGAGACGTTGTAGCGGTATATTCCGAGTCTCGAGTTGTTGAAACTAATGGCTCCAAGCGCAACGAAAGTATTATTTATAAGCTCTCTTTGGCTCGCGGGCTGAATAAATCGACATTTTCCCACATGAAAGAAGTAAATCGAGACGAGAACATAGCTAAAAGACTGCAATTGCGCCCAGATTGCAGAATTTTAATTAAACTAGCGTCTTCGAGAAGGAGTCAGCTTGGATGGAGCTCTTTTAATCACCGTTGCTAATGGAAATCAGCTGTTCCCAGCTCAATGAACGACTTTAAGGTCGCAGCTCAGCTAATTCTTGACGCTTCAGGATTGCCCTAGTAGCTCTCAGCCAAAGTTTACAATTAACTAACAAGGGTTTCTGGCGATAAAGACTAACTGCAATGCGTATAAATAAAAAGATAGTAAGATGACTGCACATATTCTGCCTTTTTTTATAAAGCACTGCAGGTACTCTATCTTTGTTTTTCTTGTCGTTGATATCTTGTGCAATTTTTTTTCTAGCTGGAAAGTTAATTATCATTACTGCGCCATTTTTTCTCTTTGGCGCGATTAATTTTCCTAAAGAATAAATCGTGAATTTCGACAGATTAATGGAATTGATGGAGATAATTTTATTCATTCAGATCAAATCTTTCGATTCTCAAGATAACTTCGTGAAGATTCAAGAATGATTGATTATGCGGATTGAATTAAATCTGTGGATTTAATGTGCTCGTAGTTCACGAGCTGGCTGTGCTAAATAATGAGATTATAGTATGTGTTTCCATCCAGAAATTCATCGAATTATGTCAATTTTGTTGTTTTATTCTTTTATGAAGTTGCATGGACTCTTTTTCATTCGTCGATATATTAACACAATATTTTATGTTTAATTAGAGATTCGAAAGTTTTATTTTATTGTCTTTCTTTTAAAATAATGTTTATAAATGCACACAAGAGCCTATTTAGATGAATACATAATTTATCTTAGACAGATACACAATAGGAATTTTAATATGTCATCTGAACAGTATTAAATCTAATATATAAAAATATCTCGTTATTATTATTTTTTAAATATATAAAGTTACGATGAGATTGATTAATAAGAAAAGAAACTTTTATTTTTCTCTTTAAAAGAAGAGGAACTCACAAAATTCAAAGAATATAAGAATAGTATTTATAATAGGAGGAGTTGAAAGCTAGATTGGAAACAGAAAAGAAGAAATTTAATACGTTATCGATCTTATTTACTCTTAATGGTTCATCACAGATTAAAGTGGGAAGTGAATCTTACAATTAGCAATATATCCCGATTGTCGAAGAGGATCTAAAGCTTCGATCTGATGTTTATCTCCCTTCGAAATTTCAAATTTTGGATTAGTCTCTCAGGAATCAGGTGATAATCTCGATTCTAATCTCCATAAGGACGTAGCGATTGATCGGATCGTCGACGTTTCGCTTGCTTGGTTTTCAGAGATTTATCGTTGAAAATGTCCAGATTAGCAGACCAATGAGGTGTCTAGTATGCGAACGTTCTGATCTGCTACATTATTGTTGATTAATCTCTAAGATTACTCAAGTATGCATTGTGGCCGAAAAATTTTCTCGCACATTAATCGTGGCCAGTTAGGATTTTCTTGTAAGTAACTCTTAGCAAAGGTCTAAAAGCGTTATCTTTTATAGTCATTATTACCCTCTTGCCAAATTCTAAATGGGTGTTGTAGTTATCAAGATAGAGTAATGACAAACGCACTGAGAATCCTCTGCTCTCTCCTCGTAATTATATTTTGCCATTTTTTGATATTATATATACGGATTAAATTCATAGCAAAAAATATTATTTATCCAGAGAAATGAGATAAATTATATTAAATTAAATAATATATAATAGTTTTATACTTACGTATGCCATTATTCTTTTCTGATAATATTTAATTTGTGTATATTTACATTTTTCTTTGTGATTGTTTCAATATCATTTTTTCTATAATATAATTTCAGAACTCTCTCTCTCTCTTACAATTTATTTAATTCATACATTTTTTTAGAAAATATGTATTTTGTTATTTCTTCGTGCCGAATGCGATTTATTTATAAAAATTTACCACCAACAAAATTGCTATTGTCAAGTCTCATAGTATCTGTTACATTGAAATTTGTATTTGTCTTTTCTTAATTTTTTCAAGTATATTTTCATTTTTAATCGGGTATGTATATGTGTGTGTGTGTGTGTGTCTGTGTGTATTTAAGTCTTGATCGTGTCAAGTAACTCGTGATGAATAAAATTATCGTTCGTGTGTGCGTGTGTATGTGTGTTTGTCTGCGTTATTTTCTCGATTCTTTCTGACGTCATCTGTTTTTGTTTCATCACTGAATGATAGTTTCGGATGCCGCACAAAATAAATAAAGTCTTCTCTGAATCGCTTTTGTGCTTTGAAAAAATCTCAGGAGTTGCGCGATTTTTTAAAATGTCTCTTTCATAATTGCGGGAAATCTTAATAGCTACTTTAAGATTTGAAACATTTTGTTATTTATATTAATTATTTTAACTGTAATATATTATGACTTTTTATTACAATGAATTTACGGATATACATGTATAAAGTTTGGTAATTACATTTTCTTAATAACATTGTTATAAGTATGTTAAAACGCGTTTAAATTGTTAAATTTTCAGTGCTTTCTAAAACAGCTTTTTATTCTAACATTTGCATTGAGTTGCTTGAAACATTATAGACAATGAAATATCAGTTATTTAATAATTCAATAATTTTATTGGACTTTTTTTTATGTATTGTATTTTATATTAAGTTTCTTTTTTCTCAAACATTTATTATTTATTTTTATTGATCATATTTATAGATATTTATTGATCATATCGTATAGATGATGGAAGAGTGTTATTCTTGATCTGAAACTTTGTCTTCTGTTGAAAGAAATATTGTCTGAATTTCAAGGAAGTTTAGTGGAACAAGTCTCTATCTCCTTCTTGCCATATCGTAGAGAGTCACGAAGGATCCCAAATCCAATAGAATATCTTCGCCTTTCACTGATCTAGGATTTAGGAACAAGTCATTCTCTATCATATCTCAGATTGCGACACGCAACCTTTCTCTTGCATTCTAAACAGAAGAATTCAATAATATTTTTGATTTTATATTTTCATTAAGTTACCAACTAATTTATAATTATAAATAATTGCAACAATTATACAATTATCATTATGTAATAATGTTATAATTATATTTAACTTGTCATGCTCATTAAATTGAAATAAAAGTATAATGAGTCTTTGATTTGTATAATTATTAATTGATATATATATATATATATATAATTTTTATAATTTTGCAAATGTATAAAGAAATGAGAAAAAATGTGCAAGTTACGAGGGTTGCGTTTCGTTGTATTTAGATCTATAGAGGATCCAGGATCGATCCGTCTTCCAGAAGAAATTACCGACCTCACCTCTCGCGGAGCAAGTATCTCCGCAGCCCCGTGTGTCCCATGTCTTCCATTTTTAGATTAACTCGACATATATATATATCGCCGCATCGAGTCCTGCCCTGAGCTCGCGACCACCCCGCTCTCGTCTAATATAATCGCTCATATTAATAACCCGCAACTCGATCTATATAATCCCCGTTCCATTACAATCTATCGAATCGCCTAACGCGAGCACACCGCGCCAAAAGTTCATCCGCAAACTCGATCCAATGTGGCCGATTCACGAACGAACAGCTAATCGATACGCTGAAATAAAAATCCAGAGCTCGTGTTTTATTATTCATAGAAATTATAACTGCTATTTTTGCGAACATGCTGGCGTAACGTATTTTGATCGAAACGCGATGATGCAAAGCCGCTGTACTTTTAATCTCGACTTGTTTTAATTATTCGTAATTGAAAACGTAAAAAGAGAATTGCGTGCGAGATAATCTTAAAATGTTCAATTTTATAATTCAATCAAGATTTACTGAATTTTCGACATCTTTTTAAAAGATTTGCATGCATATATGTATTATACATATAAACTTAGAATTAATTAAACTTAAAATGTTAAGAATATATGAAGGCTGTCCATAAAGAAACCGAACTTAAAAAAAGCGCCTGAATGCGATGATGTGGGGTCATCCGCCTTGTGGCATTGTATAGTGAGGTTCTTGGCTTCTGCAGACTTTTTCTTGTTCAAAAAATTAAAATTGACCTTGAAATGTCGCCGTTTAGAAAAGATTAAGAAAAATTCGCTACATGATCTACGCACTATTCCAAAAACAGAAAATTGCCACGAACGCAGAACACAACCTCATTCAAGTCATCATAAAACGTAAACTAAGAACGATAGCGTCATGCTCGTAGTGTGAGAGAGAAAAGAAGAAAGAGAGAGCTAAAGAATCTCACTACACAAGGCGGATAGCCTCACGCCATCGTATTCGAGCGCTTTTTTTGAAGTTTCTTTATGGGCAACTTTCGTATATTGTATGCTCATATTTGCATTAAACCAAGTCATATAATGACAAGTTTATAATTAT